TGGGCATTTCTCCAGACAGCTGAGACTGCACAGACCCAGGTGGCAACCAGGGACCAGGCTGGCATGTTCTGGTGTCATAGCCTCCACTGCTGGTCCCTGAAGATGGTCCCATCCAGCAGCACCTCCCAGCTTTTGACATTAACTCCCCCCGTCTTCCACATCCAGGTAAAAATATCAGGAACCGTGCAGGGCAGCTCCAGACTGATCATGTTTGTCTGGGTACACGGCAAGCTTTTAAGCATGGCATTATTGCAAGGGATGCTGGTTAATTCTGGGATATCCACTGAGTGGCAAGTTGTTTTGGGAACAGTGCATGGTAAAATGGGCCAGAAATCGAATTTAAAACATGCCGTGGGGGGAAGGTAAGTAGTTAATAAGTGAGTATCGTAAAATATGGTGTAAGAACCCACTTGGTCTCACTTAAGGTAAAACTCTCTAAAAGACTTGATGTGAATTTGCATTTAACCAAAAAGTAGGGCAGTGTTGCTGCAACTGTACAAGGCATTACTCTGTACTGGAGTATTGTGTACAATTTGGGTTCCCTTACTTGAGGGATGTAGTTGTATTGGAGGCAGTCCAGAGGACGTTCACTTGATTTGATTCCAGAGATGAGGGGTTTGTATTCTGAAGAGAAATTCATCAGTTTAGGCCTATACTCTCTAGAGTTCAGAAGAATGAGAGGAGACCTAATTGAGGTATATAAGATGCTAAATGGAATAGAGAAAGTAGACATAGAAAGGATTTTTCCTCATGTGGGGCAATCTAGAAGAGAGGTCATAGTTTTAGGATAATGGAGAGCAGATTTAAAACAGATGCGGTGAAACGACTTCTTTCAGAGTCATGAATCTGTGGAATTTATTTCTCTAAAGTGCAGTGGATGCTGGGAGATTGTGTAAAGTTAAGGCCAAACTTGACAGACTTTTAATTAATAATGGATTGAAGGGATATGGAGACCGGGCAGGAATGTAGAGTTGAGGCCAAGATGAGATCAGCCATGATCGTATCAAAAGGTCGAGGACGCTCGAGGAGCTGAATTGCCCACTCTTGGTCCTAGATCTATGTTCTTGTGTTCTATGAATTTATGACTCTTATGAATTAATAGGATAGGAGTCCACTTGACTCATTTCCCTTGCATCTGTTGTCTAAATGGCTCTTTATTTAATCCACCTATACATAGTAAATCACTGTACCATTTAATACTGAATTAAATGTTCAAATAGTCACTTTGTGTGACAAAAATTGATTATTGATGACAAAAGGCACATTTTGTTGACACTTTTCATCTCTCACTCATCAGGACATTTCACAAGAAATAACAATTTAAAAGAAGAAAAGCTATCATTTGTACTAGATAAGAGGACAGTGCTGTTTGGTTGGCAAGTGAATTCTGGCTAGTAGGGTTGTTGCCATGGAGAATGCACCAGTTGATCGACAGTTCATAGAATCATAGAGTCATAAAGCTGTACAGCATGGAAGAGACCCTTCAATCCAACTGGTCCAAGCGTCTAGATATCATAAGTTAATCTTGTCCCATTTGCCAGCATATGGCCCTTATCCCTCTAAACCATTCGTATTCATGTACCCATCCAGATGCCTTTTAAATGTTGTAATTGTACCAGCCTCTACCACTTCCTCTGGCAGCTCATTCCGTACACGCACCACTCTCTGTGTGAAAATGTTGCCCCTTAGGTTCCTTTTAAATCTTTTCCCTCTCACCTTAAACCTATGCCCTATAGTTTTAGGCTTCCCCACCCCAGGATAAAGACCTTGGCTATTCATCCTATCCATGCCCTTCATGATTTTTTTAACCTCTATACCCTCAAACTCCAACACTCCAGAAGTTAACCACCAGTCCTTGTTTAAATTTTAAGCCAGGCAGATTGATTCTGATTGGTCAATGGACATTGCCCTGAGAAATGAATCAATTGTCAACTCAACCAAATGGATGCCTGGTCTATCACAATTACTTAGTTGTCTTATACACATTTTGGAAGATCCTCCCCCACCCTCTCCCCTGCCCATTGCCCTTTGCACTACTACTGCCTGGTTTAAATTACGGTAATTGAAAGCCCCATTATCATTACTCAAATATTATTTTACTTTCTGTAAATTGCTGAAAATCTGATTCTTTATCACCTTCCCACTATTTCATAGTTGATAAATTTATTCCCAAATATGTACTTGCTCCTATAATGTTCCTTCTGCTTCTTGAGTTCCCTACCCAAAGGCAGGCCTGACTCTCACTGCCACAATCTGCACCAAGGAGGTTGATCCCAATCCACACCGTCCGGAACTTGAATCCCTGCTGTACAGACCAAGTTAATCCAGTGCTCTGTCTAACTGAACCAACTGGCTCCTTGAGGAGTCTGAATTTGCTGTGGCATAATATGAATTTTACATGTGTGCTGTACTCTGGAGCTATGACAAGTGATGGCAGAGGCTCCAAATTCTCTCAATCACATGGCCGCCCTGGATTCTCTCCCGCAGTTACCTCCAGCCATTTGTGTATTTTGGAAGGACTTACAATTTGATACTCAACCTTCTTTGGCATGTTATGAATGCACGTTCCTTGGTCATCATATCCTGGCTGAGACTTAACCCTAGAGCTTCTAGATCAGAGGAACAACACTACTAAACATCATTGGACTTCTCAAAGATTTTCCTATTTCTAAATAAGTCAATTCTGTCCTCTCCAGTATTATCATAGTTTCTTTGACCAAGAATGCAATCACACAATTTTTTCCATCCCTGTCTTTCCTGATTATGTTCCTAGGAACAACATGTGAAATATTCTTTGAGCCCCTCTGCTACTACATTGTAATCCTATGGGTCAACTTGTGCCAACAGCTCACCAGCCTTGTTTGTCACATCATGTAGCTTTATGTATGTGCGCTCCAAACCCACCTTCGATTGCCTCCCATTTTCTCCTATCTATCCTTCCTACCTCAGGCGATTAGGAGAGACATATAATACCCAAATAAAGAATAGCTCAGTGTATCTTCTTTCTCTTCTCTAATGTTTCATCCTGGCACCCAACCCCTACTAATTCAGTGTAAACCCTCCTTCATAGCACCAGTTAACCACATAGCAAGGAAAATGGTCCAAGTCCTGTTAAGGCGCAATCAGTCCATCTTGTACAGAATTCTTCTGTTTTAGGGTTACTTCCAATACCCCAAGAATCTAAAGACTAACTTCTTGGACCATCATTTCAGCCATGTATTAACTTGATTTATCTGACTTTTACATACTCATTGGTATATGGTGCTCAGAATCCAGAAATTATTAGTTTTAATATTCCACTCTATAAATTTTGCTAACCTTCAAGCACAGGACCACCACTCTTCTTTTCCTCTCAGTCATTGATTCCAACATGGACCACAACCTCTGGTTGTTCCCCAAAATGTTCTACATCCTCTTAGTCATGTCCTTTTTCCTGCCATCAGTAATGTGGGTGACAGATTCACTTGCAGGAGGTGGAATAGTTACGTAATTATTATAATGAAGATGCCTGTATTCATTTGTTCTATTTTTAATTCCTCAAGGGATAGAGGTTGGAAAAGGATGAATCCATGAAGTAAGTGCCTTCGCAGCACTGCTGTGGAACAGATGAGTAGGTGTGTTTCTTTTCCAGCGCAACAAGCTATCTTGCCTATCCCTGTTTCCACCAGAGATCTTCTGTTTCCTTCCCTACCCTATCACTATTGAACCCCAGGAACATCATCAAGACCCTCATGTCCAAATCTGGATCTTGATGACCATTCGTCCCTTCCTGATTGCCATTGGATACATCCATGGTAGTTCATGGTCTCATTGTCCTCTGCCTCTTTGTACATTCCCTCTTCTTATTGAATCTACCTATCAAAGTCAGAATACTTCCTGCAAGGCTGGAAAGGGTTTTGCAGGCATGATCTACCTCTTCTGGTGACATCTAGTTGTACGGAATGTTCTCCTACAAGATACAAGAAAAGGGGTTAGTCAGCGATCTCTGTAGTGTCAGCATGTGCCTATTTTGATGGAATAGCTCATGTTGGTGGTAACAGTGATGAGTATGAGGAGATGAATTGGGGTGCAGTGGTTGTCTGGGTGCAGAGGAAAGAGCAGCTGTGATGGCTGAATTGGGTGTGTTGAATCTTGTGATGAATGAGACTACAAAGTGATGGAGCATTTTAACTGGGGGAATATTGGTGGACTGGACAATCTTGCCTGTCTTTCTCTTTATCTTCACATATTTACAATATATTCAGAATCCAAACTCATGAGCACTTAGTGCCTTTTAATAATTTTTAGTCCATTTGAATCATATTCTGTGACAGCAACCATTACAACTTGCGGTGCATGTTGTGAAATTGTGGCCTTTCTGCATGCTGTAAACTCCGCCCTGACAATATTTGTTTTTAATATTGTGGCACCATTTTAATGCATGATCTTTTGAATACAGCTTCCTAGCTCTTTAGGCCTTCTGCTTAAAAGGTCTGTTAGACACCTTACTAATTATAGAATGCACAGAAATCTACACTTATATTCTTCTTAAAGTCTTAGATTGAAACGTGTAGATCTGAGCTTTTCAGAGATCTTCTGAAGACTTGTCTCAAGCATTTTGAATCCTGTTGGACATGCCAACATATTTTCTGCATTCTGTAATGGAACTTGGCCAAGTAGTGTATTGCCTTATCAGCCGTTCCATGGCCACCACCTATGTTTAGTGTAGGTCTTGGTCCAAGAACAGACTCAGGTGGAGTGAAACTTTGCAAAAGGTGTAACCGTTTGAATTAGTGTCAGCTGTATCAGGGCAAATGTACCCAGCCTTTAATGTCATGTTGCTCATCGTAAATAAACTGTACTCATAAACCCAAATTATACCATAATGTTAGTTGCAATTATGATTTCTGTTTGTGTTGATGCACTTTGCCTTGCCAGAAGTGTCCTTTTGAATGTTCAATAATCTGTTTATGTTTTGTCTTGTGGCTGTTTCAAAAGTGGAATTTAATATTTCTTTGTAGGTGGTATTGTGAAGGAAAGGAGCTCAAGAATTCACCTGATATTCAGATTGGTTATGACGGTAATCATTACACACTGACCATTTCTGAGGCTTTTGAGGAGGATACGGGACGCTACACTTGCTTGGCTTCAAATATATATGGATCAGACACAACATCTGCTGAACTGTATATAGAAGGTAAAGGCATTGGAGAAATTCTGAAGGCTAACTTTGAACATGTTTTCATGTAATAAACAAAGATTTGGGAAGTATTGGGATTTGGCTAAATATTACAAACATGTGAGCACTTAACTGACCATAGGTCCAGATTCAAATACTAGTCTGACTGATATGCATGCATATGTTTATGTCAGAAAATACATCATAAGTGGGAAAATGAGAAGTACTTTCCCACATCATCCAATCACAAATCCTGACAAGGTAAAATCAATGGTGCAAATGCTAATAACTGGACTAGATAGGCCAACAGCCTTTCTGGAACTGAGGCATCATGGCCTTTATTGATCTGCTGATTTTTTTTTTACACCTTAAGTGAAGGATTTAGCTTTGTTAGAACCTAATATTTATGCAGTTGAGATTGTCAATGGGAATAAAAACATTTGTAGATCAGATACTTAAGGCTGTTGGCAAAGGAATTGAACAGTTTTATAGCTTGGAAGAAATGTCATTGATCAAAATAGTTGAGATCTTCTCAACAGATGCGGTGGACTTATTGAATATTTCCAGCATTTCCTGTATTTGTGCTAATACTGTTGTTAGGCAGTCATTTTTCAGGGTTATTGATATTAATGACCCTACATTGGAAACCAAAGTAACAACCCTGTTGCTGGAACCATTTCCACGTTCAATCTGGAGCCTGGCCTGAGGGGTAAGTAGTTATAGGTCAGGGTTTCTGCTGAGATCAGTCCTAATTCACAGAAGAGCAGTATTTTTGATTAATTCATGGAATGAGAGTGATGTTGGCTAGTCCAACATTTATTGCCCATCCCTAGTTGCATTTGAGAAGGCGGTGATGAGCTACCATCTTGAACTGGTGCAGTCCATTTGGTTTTTCCACAGTGCCATTAGGGACAGAGTTCCAACATTTTGATCCAGTGATACTGAAGGAAAAGTGATATTTTTCCAAGTGAGGATAGTGAGTGGCTTAGAAGGGAACTTGCAAGTGATGATGCTCCCCTGTAGCTGCTGACCTTGTCCTTTTAGATGGAAGTGGTTGTGAAAATGGAAGACGCTGTGTAAGAAGCCTTGACAAATTTCTGCGTTGCATCTAACAGATGGGGCAAGTTGCTGTTGTTGAGCATCAGTGATGAAGGGAATGAAAGTTTATGGATGTGGTGCCAATCAAGTGGGCTGATTTGTCAAGCTTAATGAGAAGCGTTGGAACTATACTTATCCAGGGAAGTGGGGTGTATTCCATCACACTCCTGACTTGTGCCTTGTAGATGGTGGACAGGCTTTCAGGAGTCAGGAGATGAGTTACTTGCTGCAGGATTCCTAGCCTCTGACCTGCTGTTGTGGCCATAATATTTAAATGAATGGTCAAGTTCAGTTTCTGGTCCATGGTTACCTGCAGGGGATTCAACCGGTGGTAATGCCATTGAATATGTTAGTTGGATTCTTTCTTGCAGGAGATGATTATTGTCTGGCACTTGTGTGGCATGAATATTATCAGGCCAAGGCTGGATATTGTCCAACTCTTGCTGCATTTGTACATGGACTGCTTCAGTATCTGAGGAATTGCGAATGGTGCTGAACATTGTGTAATCATTGGTGAACATTTCCACTTCTGACCTTATCATGGAGGGAAGGTCATTGATGAAGCAATTAAAGATAGTTGGGCCTAATACACTACCTGGAGGAACTCTGCAGAGATGTCCTGGAACTGAGATGACTGACCTCCAACCACTAAGCTAATCTTCCTTTATGCCAGGAATGACTCCAACCAACCAGTAGAACGTTTACCCCCTTAATTCCATTGACTCCATTTTTGCTAGGGCTCCTTGATGTCACTCCCAGTTAAATAGGGTCTTGATTTCAAAGGCCACTGCTGTCACCTCAGCTCTTTTGTCCATGTTTGAACCAAAGCTGTAATGAGGTCAGGAACTGAGTGGCCCTGGCGGAACCCAAATTGGGCATTACTGAGCAGGTTATTGCTGAGCAGGTGCTACTTGATTGAACTGTTAATGACATCTTCCGTCACTTTACTGATGCTGGAGAGTAGACTAATGGGGCGCAGTTGACAGGGTTAGATTTGTCTTGCTTTTCGTGAAGAGGACACACCTGAGCAATTTTCCACATTGTTGAGTAAATGCCAGTGTTATAATTGTACTGGAAGAGCTTGGCTAGGGAAGCAGCAAGTTCTGGAGCACAAGTCTTCAGTACTGTTGTCGGAATGTTTTCAGGGCCACGGCCTTTGCACTATCCAGTGTCTCCAACCATTTTTTGATATTGCACAGTGTGAATTTGAATTGAATCAGCTGAAGACTGGTATCTGTGATGCTTGGGATCCTCTGGAGGAAGCCAAGATAGATCATTCATTCAACACCGCTGACTGAAGATTGTTGCGAATGCTTCAGCCTTGTCTTTTGCACTGATGTGTTGGGCTTTTCCATCTTTGAGGATGTTTTTGGTGGCTAATGAACAGTAGCGGGCATGGGATATCAGCAGGAGACTGGAGGAGCAGGCTGATTAAAGGCATTATAGCAGCTTTTAGTGTGGCAGCTTTCGTGACGCAGTGAAAGGCACAGAGGGGTGGAAAGGCAGGGGCTAGCCATCTATGACAGGATTGTTGCATAGTTTGACAGTGCTGGTTGTGAGAGAAGAGCAGCAGTCTTCTTCCTGGAGGGTGGCTGGGAAGGCCACCCAGCCAAACTAGGCAAGCGGAGCATCAGATCACCTGCAATCCTGCTGTGTCTTCAGGAGGACCAGGCAGAACTGCCTAAGGGTGCACCTGAACATGGGAGGAATGTGTGCCCAGGGTCATTCCTGGCCCACTCACAAGGCTGTCGAAGTGTTGATAACACTGACAGATGCAGCACCTTATTTAAAGGAGCTGCTGGAATTGGTGAAGAACACTGACATTGTTTGCCCTCTCTGTCTTTTGTCCTTGCAGGAGAAGAGGCTGCACAATACTAGAGTGAGGGTGCACACAGGGTAAGGAGTGCCCCAACTCCCTGTCCTGACTGCAGTGGAGGAAGGCAGCATTTTACAATGTGAGATAGTAGGAACTGCCAATGCTGGAGTCTGAGATAACAAGGTGTGGGGCTGGATGAACACAGCAGGCCAGGCAGCATCAGAAGAGCAGGAAAGCTGACGTTTTGGGTCTGGACCCTTCTCCTGTAGAAGGGTCCAGACCCGAAACATCAACTTTCTTGCTCCTCTGATGCTGCCTGGCCTGCCATATTTTACATTGTGAGATGTGTAGGTGATAGTGAAATGAGAATCTCTGTAAGAGAGGGTGAAATGATTTTGATTCTATTGGTGAAAGATGTAGGGCACTCCTCCATCTGTGATAGCAGGCCAAGCCTTCAGCAGGAATGGGAATCCTCAACTCTGCAGAGGTGTCTGCTGTCATAGTGAGTTCTCCGGATCTCTACCCTCTTTCTCACACAGGACCAGTTGTGGAGGGAGTGCATAGCAATGCCACTGCAACATCCCCGGGGTCCTTGGAGAGGGGAAAGCCTTAGACTCAGAACCTGCATGTGACTCAAACAAGCCCTTTTCAAGTGCTGATGGCTGAAGTGTGATTAGAATTGTTGGCACTGGGCGAAGAGCAAGTCAGTAGTGAGCAGCAGGTGAGAAAGGCAGAAGCTGATATGGACAGTCCCCTTGTAGGATGGAGAACAGGCCTAGCCTTTCTCATCTGAGTGCAGGTGCAGGGCCTCTGCAGTCTAGAACAAAGCTTTGCTACCTAAACCTGCAGCAACAACTGTGTTTCTACATGTCAGAGTTCCCTGAGGTCGTGTAAGGTCAGCAGTTGAGGATGAAAGAGTCTATTGAGTTTACGCGCAGCATCATGGCTCAGTGTAAAACACATGAGCTCCTGTATCGAGAGTGGCCAGCATAATGGAGAGCCGTATACCACAGCATTCAGAGTGGCTGGAGGAACAATGTACTGAACACATCCAGTGCTGGATAGCATTGACCAGCCAGTGGCAGTGTTGATACAAAGATGTCAGGTGTCGTTGCAAATTGCAGCCCTATGGGTGATTACTTCCAGCAATCCACAGGGCCATCAACAGACTGGGGCAATCACCAACAATGATGAGGATGCCATCCCTCATGCGTTCCATCATGATCAATGACCTCCTAGGCCCCTCTGTCTGAGGGACCCTCCAGGCAGCAAGGCTCAGACAGAGGCTATCCCTGCATTGATAGCAGTGCAGCACCCACAAGAAGTGCCACACCCAGCTGGCACCTCCATGATGAGACCACCCACCATAGGCATCTCAAGGCCAAAAGGATATCTGTAACCAGGCTGCCTCCACCTTCTCTGAGGCCACAAGCAGACCACTGCTGGCCCAGAGCAAAAGCCAATGTATCAGTCACTCCACTGTGGTTCATTTGAGTGACTTCCAGTTGTGATTATTTAAATGTTTGTTTCATTATTATTTTGGAGATGTTGAGATATTCCAACAGTCTTAGCCTCTATTCTTTAACGGCAAAGCTGAAAAAGAGAGATGTGGAATAGGGACATAAGTAATGGCACTTAAGGGCCTTATTCCACTGCCATCAGGATTTAACCATTGGCAGGAGAGGGTCATGTCAAGCAGCCAGCTTGGCAGGTTTTTCTTGGTGGCCTGCTGGCAAGTAGGAGACAGCTCTCCTAGGTAGCTCCTCTTGGCTCATTGGGGAGCCTCTCATGGTATTATCTTCCAGTATTGCCCTCCACCAATGGTGTCTTGAACCCCCGGCAACCTGGACCTTGGTCCTCCTTGTTGGGTGAGCCAATTTGACACTCAGTGCAACCTCCAAAGATACTAAAATGATCCAATGCTTTGTAAGTGCTGGAGGTTGCTGGCCTCTGGCAGTAATCCTATTAAATGGCTGTGTGGGAGCTGGTGTTCCCCTTTCCCAGTAAAGGTGAGGAGGTGACAGGGAATCAAGCACCTCAGAATTCAGTCCCCATCCCTTCCTGTACATGCCCTGGGCTCTGTAACTGCTCACATGGATGTTGA